ACAATGGTCGAGCAGGACCTTTGACTTATCTTCACGTAGGTGGAACTGGTAAAAGAAAGGAGCCTGGGGCTCCTCCCAAGCCCACGGGACCCCTGAGGAACAGATCCTCAAACGACCTCAAGAGTGAAAACAAATCAGTTTTTCTGGTCCAATGGTATGTCCTTAAACACCCAAAAGGGAAGTATAACCAAAGATTAAAGGGGCCAATATAATTTCTTAAGAGCACACATATATATAACTAAAAGTTACTTGACAAGCAACAATGCCAGATAGGAGATACCTTCTTTTGAGTTGTTGGCCAAAGTGGCCAAAGGGATTCCCAGATAGTAACCCAGCATAGAAGTGGGAAAATGAACAGCAGACCCCAATCTTATCCAAAGGAATATTGACAACTGATTGCTGCTAGATGAGGAACAGTTGACCCTCCTAAAACAAAGACCGCTAGATAGGCTGACTAGGTTCACCAGGAGGGCAAGTAGTGGGGAATGGCTGGGGGTGCCGACAACACAGCAGACAGTTGCAGGGATATGAGTATAAGTGCTCTAGTTGGGGGAGGGAGGCTATGGGAGGGTGCTATCTGGGAAGTGAGTGTAAAAATAAATTTTTTTTTAATTAAAATTGAACTCACAGAGATTCGTCTGCCTCTGCCTCCCGAGTGCTGGGATTAAAGGCATGCACCACCATATCCGGCTTATTATTTTTATGTATATGTGTATTGCCTGCATGTATGTGAGTGCACCCGTGTCGTGCAATGCCGCGGAGGTCAGAAGAGGACTTCGGATTCCCCTGGAACTGTAGTTAAGGACGGTTCGCAGCCGCCATGTGGGTGCTGGGAATAGAACCCGGGTCCTCCGCAACAGCAGACAGTGCTCTTAACTGCTGAGCCATCTCTCCAGCCCCTTTTTTTTGTTCCTTTTAATTCTTGCTTTGGTGGGACAGTGAGGTCAGCAATTTTCAGTAAAAAAATAATTTTTCAGTGCTAGGGAGGTAACCCAGGGTCGCCTGTATACTAGTGCAGTAACTTTTACCATTGCCCGTTGGCATCTTCTCCCATTCTCCTTGGAGCTCAGAGGCTGCAGGTTTCTGAGGGCAGACATGTGGCTGACTTCCTACGCAGAGCTTGTTTTCTACAGTCCAGGTACAGTTACTACGGATTGAATAAACATCTTATTGGAAGAACAAACAAATTCGACTGTCAGCCTTTGGTTTTTTTCCATCTTTATTGCTGTGCTACTGACAAGGAACAAAACTTCAGACCCGGGAAGAGCAGTTAGAGCGGGTCCAAACTTTGGGTCTCACACTTCGACTTTACGTAGTAGGTGCCTTTCTGGACAATCGCTTGCATGATCTTTCATGGATAGTCACCCCCAGACGGGATACTGGTGGATCTCCGACTGGTCTCCTCTCCAAGCTCCTGCCTCAGCCTTCTAAGGGTTGGGATTACAGGCACGTGCCCCCTACCCACCTATGTATAAGGTTTTGCTAATCACAACTCGCTCTACTCACCAAGAACACTATTATTTCAATGTCTTGTGCTAGGAAAGGTACCATATTTTGCTTATTTCACGACCCACTCTGTGCATTCTTTTAGTTACCAGCATTCATTCTCTATTTCGATGGGTAACTGAGAATGGGGTACGCCAGAACTAATTCGGCTTCCTAACCATGACTACTAATTCACACACCACGTCAGTAGCGTTTGATGGCTTCTGGGTGCTGGCCCACAACTCGCTATCTACCACTTCTGCCCCCTTCTTCTAACACCACCTGCTTCCAGCCCGAGGCGGCGGGCTAATCCTCCGTGACCTCTTTGTCATGGCGTCCGTGGGGCGTCTGCCAGCCCAGGGTTCCGCAGTCAGCCGGGCGTGGACCTTCCTAAGATGGCGAGACTGGGGGCCACAGCGTCCAGGGGGCGGGGCTCGGGCGGTGGAGGCGGGGCGGCGAGGCCGAGGGGTCGGGCTCAAAGGAGGGCCGCTTCCGAAGGAGGCAGACCTAGCGCGCTTGCGCGGTGCGGCCCAGCGCGCAGTGAGGCTGTGGCGGGGGAAGGCACCGGTGGGGCCGACGGGCGGGTTGAGGAGGGAAGCGAGCGAGCGAAGTCCCAGTGCGCGCCGCGGCGGCCCGGGTACCCTCCCCTTCCGGGCGTGAAGCGCTGAGAGGAAAGCCGAGCGGAGCGGACCTGCAGCGGCGGCAAGGTTCTGTCGTCCCAGCCCGGTCTCCCTAGGCTCCGGCGCTCCTGTCGCGGGGCCCGGGTTCCTCAGCGCACCCAGCTCCAGCTGCCCCCAGAGCCTGTCCCCAGCCCTTCGGAAGGCCCGGCGCCAGCCCGGGCTCTTGGCGGGGAGGATGACGGAGCTGCAGTCGGCGCTGCTACTGCGAAGACAGCTGGCAGGTGAGCGGCTGGCTGCGGGGCGCCGGGCCGGGCCGGGCCATGGGCAGCCGAATCCCTTCGCCGTTTCTCGTTAGGTTGTCGGTCGGGAGGCTAAGGGCTCCGGCCCGCGAGGGAGGGAGCCGGGGGGCTGGTGCCGGCCGGCCGACACTTCTTGCCCGGCTGTGGGAGGGCGTTGGGGGCGGGGACGCACCCCTGTCTGCCCCTTGGATGGCCCGGTGCGCGTTGCGGCCGGGGGAGAGGCGGCCCCCTCCCCCACGGAGCTGGGGCGTTGCGGGGGAGGGGCGTGGGTCCCCGGCCCGACCCTCCCTGAGGGGCGGGCCCGGGGCTGCCGGGTGGCCGAGGTCGCAGAACCTCGGGGACACTGCGAGCGTCCCGGCCCCGCGCGGCTGCGAGAGTCCCTGGCCCGGGTGTCGGAGCTGCGGGGGGCCGCGGGGGCGCGGGGGCCGAGCGGGCGAGAGGAGCTGGCCCGGGGTCGGACTGGGGAGGCGCGCCAAACTTCTCCCCCGGCAACGCGGGCTCGGTGGAGTGGGGGCCGACAACAATAGCGACGGCGGGGTGGCTGGGCGCTGGTGCGCGGGGTCCGAGAGCCCGACGGGGTGAGGGACGCCGCCTCGCTTGCCTCCGCCTGGCACGAGCTCACGTCTGGGGGAGGGTAGGAGCGGGCATGGGCACTTTCGCTCTCCCTCCGGCCGGGGCTTTGTGCTCTGCGCGGCTCGGGCTCCCGCGCAGGCCCGCAGACACCGGAGCTGCGGCCGGACCCAGGCGCCGGCTAGGGGCGGCGGCCACTTCGGCCGCCCCGGAGGAGCCTCCGGCCCCCTCCCCCATTGTCCCGGCCTCCGGCCGTTTGCGGCTTCCAGGTTGACTTTTTAGGGGGTTGGCTCCTACTCTGCTAGGACTGTGTGAGCCGGGCATGCGCGCTGGAGGCGTACGTGTGCTGAGTGGAAGGGGAGGGGGGGAGGCGGGTTGGTGGCTTCACAATGCCGCCCCACGTGCTGCCAGATTTAAAGAGAAATGAACCAGTACTTGCTCCTGCTGTCCAACGCCCAGCGTGTGCCATTCTGGGTTCAGTCGGTCTTCCCCCTCCTCAGCCTGTAGCGAGAAGGCCCTCCCCCCTCTTTCCCCGCCTTTCTCCAGCGACACTGAACGCTGGAAGGGCGATAAATGAAATAGACGACTGTGAGTTTGAGGTGTCAGTTAAATCACCTTTATGGCTTCTTAAGGAAAAGGTTGTCGGGGGCTGTTACAGATTGTATAATAAGGTTTATTATTAGACCATGAGCAAGCAGACTTGGACAAGCATTAAAGTTCTAGATGGTCAGGGCAATGACTTGAAGTGAATGGAAAAGTTCTTAGGATACTCTACCCATCAGGAATGTTATGTTGGGAAAGCGATGAAAGAATAATTTTATTGCATCTTATATCCACAGATATCCTTTGTTGCTGCCCCCACCCCTTGATTTTTGTTTCGGAGGAAGGAATTAGGATTTTTGTCCTCTTAAAAATTCTTTGGGGCTGGAGAGATGGCTCAGTGGTTAAGAGCACTTGCCACTCTGCAGAGGGCCTGGGTTCAGTACCCAGTTCCCACATGGTGGATCACCTCACCTCTGTTACTGCAGTTCCAGGGTACCAGTGCTCTCTTTCGGCCTCCACAGGCACCAGACACTCAGGCAGTGCACATATATACACACCAGCAAAACGTTCATATGCATAAAATTAAGAGTAAACCTTTTTTTTAAAAAAAGAAAAAAGGTCAGACATGATGGTGATACATTTTAATTCCATTACTCAGGAGGCAGAGACAGGCAGATCTCAATGAGTTCCAGGCTAGCCTGGCCTACTAGTGAGTTCCAGTCCAGCCACGGATACGTATTGAGATCAGAATAAATTTTATATGTGCTGAACTAGTAAACAGACTAAAAGTACTAAATCAATATTAAAATTACACTTAATATAATTTGATTCTGGCCTAGAAAGATGGCTCAGCAGTTGTTAAGAGCACTTGCTGCTCTTGCAGAGGACCCACCTGGTGACTCCTAACAGTCAGCAATACCAGTTCCAGGGGATCTGACACCTTCTGGTTTCTGCAGGCACCAGATGCCCATGTGGTATACATACATAAATATATACATACATACAGGCAGTACACTCATACACATAATATCTTTAAAAAAAGTTTTGATTTTTTAAAAAATTTCATGCATGAGCACTATATATCACCCCAGCCCCCTCAACTCCTCTCATGTCTCCCCCCTACTCTCAACTTGATGACCTCTGCCTTGATTGTTACTGTTACATATACATACATGTATACCCACACACACACGTATTAGGTACTGACTCCATTTAGTGGTGTTTGTGTGAACATGTAAAGAAGTTTATGGCTGATGACTTGGGATTAGATAACCTATCAGGGAGCTAGTCCCCAGAGAAAACTGATTCTCAGCAGCCATTGATTGCCTGCAGCTCTTCATCTAGAGGTGGGACCTTGTGACATTTCCCCCATTCTATTGGCATGTCAGCTGATGTCATTATTATGCAGGTCTTGTAAAACAGCACTCTTACATAATGGAGATAACATAAATTTTATTTGTGTGTCTGTGGGTTTGTGCACATGTACTGTTACCCACTGAGCTATCTCTCCAAGCCCCAGGGCATATTTTATTATTTTTGTTTCCTTGAGACAGGGTTTTACCATGTAGCACTGGCTGTTAGAACTAGATGTGTAGACCAGGCTGGCCTTGAACTCACAGAGATCCACCCGCCTCTGCCTCCCAAGTGCTGGGATCAAAGGCCTATGCCACCAAAAGAAGTTCAATTCTGAGAAAATAAAACCACTAATAATGTTAACAGAGTAGCACTGTGTCCAGTATTTCACACCTGTTTGTGAAATGAGTCTAGATGGTGGTGAAACCTTGATTCAGTTTTGTATTTTTTTAAATATTTATTTTTTTTTTGTGTGTATTGCCTGCATGTAGGTAAGTGCACCCATGTTGTGCAATGCCCGAGGAGGAGGCTATAGGCTATTGGATCCCCTGAGACTGGAGTTACAGACAGTTGTTAGCTGCCATGTGAGTGCTGGGATTCAAACCCCAGTCTTCTGCAAGAACAACCAGTGTTCTTAACCCCTGAGCCATCTCTCCAGCCCCCAGCCTCCACTTTAAAAAAATTTTTTTTTTGCCACGCATCATGGTGCACACCTTTAATCCCAGCACTTGGGAGGAAGCAGAGTCAGGAGGATCTCTGGCCAGCCTGGTTTACACACTGAGTTCCAGGCCTGCTGGAGTTACAGGAAGACCCTGTCTCAAGATCAAAAAAATTTTTTTTTCTAAATTTTATCTGTATGTGTATCTTGCCTGCAGATATATAAGTATACCATGTGCATGCCTGGTACCCAAAGAGACAGAGGAGGGCATCAGATCCCCTGAAACTAGTGTTAGTGCCTGTTGTGAGTTACTCTGGTTTTGTATTTTAAATTTATTTTTGTTTCTTTTGTGTATGAGTATTTTGCCTGCATGTATATAAGTGCACCCATGTCGTGTAATGCTCACAGAGACCAGAAGAAGGCATTGGAGTGCTTGGAACTAGTGTTATAGCTCTCTCTCTCTCTCTCTCTCTCTCTCTCTCTCTATATATATATTTGGAAGTTTTTTTGAGGGGGGGGGTTGGGGTGTTTTTGAGACAGGGCCTCCCTGTAGCCTCAGCTGACCTGTAACTCACTGGGTAGAACTCACGGAGATCCACCTGCCTCTGCCTTCTGAGTCCTGGGACTAAAGGCATGCACCATCACTCCCAGCTATAATTATTTTTTTAACAATTAGAAATAATAGTATGTATCTATTGGGCTTCAGATGGTTCAGTGGTTAAGAACAGTGGCTGTTCTTGCAGAGGACCTGGGTTTGGTTTCCAGCACCCATAAGTTGCTTAATAACAGTCCTAAACTCCAGTTCCAGGGAATCTGATGCTCTCTTATGGCCTCTGGGCATTGCCTGCATGTGATCTACTTAGATACATGCAGGTGTAAAACACTCATACACATAAAATAAAAATCAATATTTAAGGGGGCTGGAGTGATGGCTCAGTGGTTAAGAGCGCTGACTGCTCTTGTAGAGGACCCAGGTTTTGTTCCCAGCACCCACATGGCAGTTAACAACTGTCTGTAACTCCAATTCCAGGGGAATCCAATGCTCCCTTCTGATCTCTGTGGGCACTGCATGACACAGATGCCCTAACATGCAGGCAATACACTCATATACCTAAAATGGAAATAAATGAAATATTTAAAAAATTAAAAAGTAAAACATTCTTCAAGGCTTTATTTACTAATTGTTGACTTTTTGATAAGGCATCCTAAAATATACTTTAAGATAGAGGGGGTGATTTGATTTCAGAATTTTCAAGCTTTATAAAGTTACTTAATTGCCAGGTGACCTTTCTTCATCAGAAATAATGCAACACAATATTTAAAAATTTTAGGGATTCGCCATGCCTTTAATCCCAGCACTCTGGAGGCAGAGGCAGGCAGATCTCTGTGAGATCAAGGCTAGCTTGGGACTACAGGAAGACCTGTCTCAAAAAGACAAAAAAAATTTTTTTTTCTTTTAGAAATCCGGTTAACCTGCTCAAAATGTGTGGAATAGAGTGTTTGTTAATTGAAATGTAAAAACGTTAAATTTGTTTGCAAAGACTTGGTAAGTACCTAAAAATAAAGGCTTTTTTTTTTTTTTTTAAACTTTTTAGCATATTGTTTTTATGGATTTTACAGTATCACCTGAAAATAGTAAAGTGTAGTCTCTTGAAATCAGAGTGAACTTGTTTAAGTTTTGAAAATAAGGGATTTTAAAAAAACTTAAAACGTATTGCATTTTGAAGCCAAACCTGTAAACCATTCCCACTGCTAGAATTTTAGAGTTATAACAGTGGTGATATTTACTGGGTTAGTTAGTCTGCTAGTGGCAAAGATTTTAATACATTACCTGGGTGAATTTATCCTGTAATGAAGA